TTTGTGAATCTCTATGAAACATTCTAAACTGCTTCCTCATGGCAAGCTTATGTAGCGCGAATCGTCTAAGTGACGTTTCATAATGATAAAAACATCTTCTTAGCGGTCATATACTATTTTTATCGTTCGTTTCTGTATGTTTTCGATTCCAGTTGCCTGTGGTATAGATAAACAATTCCAGATGACCGAACCGAATTCCTACCATGAACAAACTAGTGACTTAAACAAACGCAGCACACAAAATTGCAATGAAAGTTGGCGACATGATTGATAAATTACGCCAAGCACTCTAAACGCAGCATTAGCGGATATGGACACGTGTTCATTAAAAACCAGCGCACTACCAATATGAACACCAAGGCCCGTGACAACAGACACGCGGGGGATTGAGGCGCCTTCAAAGTTGTAGGAAGCACGAATGAACTCACACTTTCTAGGTAGCACAATATGTTTAGACTTCTCAGAATTAAGCACCAAGCAGTTTTGGACGCACAAATCCCAAACATGTTTTATATCAGCCTGAAGGCGCCTGCAATCCAATAGCGACTTCACACTTAGAACAGCTTAACATCATCAGCAAAGAGAAAAGTATTTGCATCACTAACACAGGAAACAATATCATTTATTTTTATTTAATGCAACAAAAGCGGTTCCAGGATGGAGACCTGAGGCACTCCAGATTTCGAAACAAACTCGTCAGAGTAGCTATTATCAACCGGAACAGAGTTGCGACGTCCATGTAAAGCGAGTTTCTTTTAGCAGCAGATCATAATTAACGCGGTCGAGCCCTTTCGACATGTCGAAATAAATCACGTCCACCGGTCCCCTACTGGAAGCAATTGGTGCTGAGAAATCTAAAACCGAGCATCAGTTCGATTCAACGGACCTTTCCTTTGCAAATCCGTGCTGAACTTACAATATAATTATACTTAAATAGGACTAAATATGCTTATGTACCACTTTTCAAATACTTCAACGAAGACACATAACAATGACACAGGGCGGTAATTTTTTTAGCAATGTGCAATCACCAGATTTAAAAATGGGCACCACTGCAGAAAATTTCCGAAATTCTGGGAAATAACCCTATCCAAAAGACAAATAAAAATGTGCATTAAATCCGGGGGAAATATATAGCAGCAGCCTTTTATAATAAAACTAGGTATTCCATGAATGCCGGTCGATAGTTTGGGTTTCAGCTCTGTTATACTTTTAAGATATCTTCAATGCAAACAGTAAAAGAAGAGAGATATTCGAAACTCTCAACATTAATTGCACTTAAGGAGTTACCTAAATGAAGAGATGAATAATACGAACTAAAATACTCGGCAAAACAAGCTCCTATATCAGCCGCACGACATTGGTACCCAATATCACCACGACGCCAAATATCCGACTTATTTTTACGCACGTGCTGTTTAGTAAAGCGCCAAAGTTCATTTGGATATTTTTAAAGTTACGGTCAGTGCTATTTAGGTAGAGTCGGTTATCATAATCATGGATATTTTTGAACAAACCACAATAGATACTAAACTTCTGATACCATATATCCAAGCCCGTCTTTTATGGAAACCATGAAAGTGAAGTTGTTTACGTGATGCCTCTTTAAAATCTCTTGAAAACTACCTCGGATAGAAAGGTTCGCATTCACAGTTTAGGAATAAATATGTGCAGTGCATTTTTGACTTTCGGAGTTAAGGTTTCTTTAGCTGAGTCAACTGTACGAATATTTGAGATATCTGACCAGTCGCACGGCTTCATGTATATGAAGCAGTATAACCCTAGGTAATTCCCTCTAGTATAGCAATACGCAACAGAACGTTTTTTTAGAGCGCAGCTCTAAGGCGCCCGTTTCCGGCTTGAGCGGCGTCGGTGTTGGCTTTCCCGCTGGCGTCACCATTGGCGTCACCGTTGGCGTGATTACAGTGATTATAGCGATTACAATCAAATAGATTCACAAACGAAATTAACCAAGAGGGTTTCTTAGAAGTAACTCTTGCTAAGCAAGAAGCCATATATCTGGACCCGAAATTTAGTTAAGTCAACCTTTTTCTGAACGTTTTCGAGATGTTCTATAAACTCAATTCATCGGCAAAAAGGGAAGGAAAATAGTAGACACCAAGTTAAAAGTTAATGCCATCATTGGTTGGTATTTCTATTCACACACACTCGGCATAGCTTTTCAAATCTGTCCTTTGGTGACACTAAATTGAAGAATTAACTGCAACTAGTACTTCACCCCCAAATTTCATGCCACTTCCAGCATAGTCTCTGTCTTGGCAAAACACGACATAGTTTTGCGTGCGTAATAAAGGTGCATGTTCAATACACTTTTCGTAAGCTATAAATATACCTTGGGTACGCTTTAATAAAAAGATTCACAAAAGTGCAAAAGTAGTATACTTGTATGCCCGAGTGTTAGAGTGAAAAATATAAACAACCCACACCGACAAGCTTCAAGCATGTGCAGCATGTACGCGAAGCTGTCCTTTTAAGCATGAAACATATGAGCGGCGAAACTGGATACCGCGCGGCACTCGCTGCTTGCCGCTAGGTGCAGCCCAGGCGATGCACCGCGTGCAACGCGCGGCAGTATCTCTATCGGCCAGATCCGAGCAATGCGGCGTCGCGCGGAAGGGCCAGCACCGGTTGCTATGATACTGCCGCGCGGCGCCCGTTTTCAAGGCTAGTGCGTCCCCTGCTTTACAGTTTCTCGATGCGCGGGAAGCAAGCACGAGTGATCTTAAGCTTGCCATAGCTACCTTTGGGAGCGTGCTGCACCTGCCTGAGGTTTGTCAGTGTCGGTTGTTCCTGCCTGTCGCTTCATTGGGACTCGGTCATTAGTTTATTGCTTTTTACCATGGGCTTATCCAGTGTGTTCTTCATCCCGTAAATTAACGCGGATATGGTATGAAGTTTTCAAAGCGATGGTCCTCAAAAATTGGTTTCTCAACGTATCACGCAGAGATTTGCTAGAGGGGTGCAGCTATGCACCCCTCTGCACGAATGCGCGAATTCGGAGCTAAAATGTGAACGGATGAGCTTACCTTGTTTTAAACTAAAAAGACAAAAAAAAAACTGTTACTGGCTATCTTTCGCGGCATTCATAGACGACGTCATGATCGGGCCCGCTTGGTTAAATCTACTGCCGACAAATGTCGGAAACGTTGAACGCGGTGGTGTTCAGCATAGCAGGCAATCTTCAGAAACGTTTCACTGTGCCGGCTCGCGTCTTTGCCGGCGCGCTCGACACCTCCCACATCTGTCCGTGGCAGATTTAACTGGACAAGTCCGGTCACGACGTCGTCTGCGATTGGCGCGGCAAATAAAAAAAACTATTCTTCTTTTTTTTTTTAGCGTAAGCTTATCCCTCGATTTTTTACCTCCATGCGTGCACCACCCAGAAGCACCTTTGAAGTAAATCTTTGCGCGATACGTTGAGAAATTGATTTTCGCGGACCGCCCAAAGTGGGATCGAAGGGTTAGTTTACATGCTGTATATAGTCATGAACCTTTCTTATACTAGTTTACCATATTGTTCAACGAAATGGGGACAAAAATGCTTAGGAAACTATCATTCCTTTGGCCTCAAAAACTGTTTTTTGTGTTATGTAAGTAATTTTATTTAAGATTGTCTTTCAGATGACGAATTTACTATCCACGTTGCATAAAGAGTAATCAACGAACGTGTCAAAGAAACAAGAATAGACCTTGTTGTGTCCCCTATACGAATAGAAACTGGGAGAGAGGGGGAGTTGAGAGAGAGCGCAAGTAGACGCCAGTTGGCCAGCTCCGATTGGAAGGATTAGTGGGCAGACGAAAAGGCTCGCTGCTTTCATCTCTATGCCCACTGTCTCCCTCCAATTACAGCTAATAAAAGCGCCGTCTGTTCCACGTGCAGAGTCTCACGTGCGTAAGCCGAGCGCCGGAGTTGGCGTTCGAAGCCGATCAAGCAGTGAAAGGCAGCTAGTCTTTGTGTTTACCCACTCAAACAGAGTTCGGCACTCTGCCGTCACCGCGCGCTGTCATTTCCTCCTCTTCCTCATTTTCTCTCCGTATATACCAACGCACTGCCGCGCTTGTTCACACCAGGTATGGACATTTGCGTGAGATAAAGCGGCGGCGCATGCGCGCAGTGCCGACAGTAGCGCCACCTCAGTGGCGTCACGCCAGAGAATGGATATTTTCCAATAACGAGCGCCGTCTGGGGAGTCGTCTGTGAACTACAAAGGAGGAGCAGCCCAACATGCCTCCGCCCGTCAAAACTCATTCACCCGTATTCACCAGGCGCGACTAACTAGCGCCGTTTTAAGGTTAGTAGCACGACTAAGTAGTCGCGAGCTAAACAAGAAATCCGCGACTAACAAGCGATTATGTTCTGCGGTATTCACGAGCGCCGATTTGCTCTGTGCGAGCGGGCGACTATCTAGTCAGGAGTTACACGGCGGAAGTGACGTCAGCGGCCTTATCACGCATGCGCTCAGGCCCTACCGGAAAAAAAAAAACCGGATGTCAACAACGCGACGCGCACAGTTGACATCCGGTTGTCGAGTTTAGCCGACAGAATCCAGTTCAATCCCATCCGACATCAGCCGTCGCGCCAATTTGGTCAGGTGTTTCGGTCGTGCTTTGTTTCGTGCGTGATGGGTTCGTCCACCGTTCGTTCGTCCTCGGCTCAGAAGCAAAAAAGACCGCGAGGTGAAAACTGGGACCAGACGGAGAAGTTAAGGCCCTTGGATCTGATTCTACCTTACGTTGCTGTCATCGAGGACAAGTCGAACGACCACGAAGTCAACGTACAAAAAAAGAAGGCCTGGCAAGTAATTGATTCAAACTTCAGAGCGGAGTCGACAACGAAAGTTCGCGACCTCGATCGTATCAAGGAGCAATGGAGACGCATGAAGCTGACAGCAAAGAAGAATTGGCGGGATTACTCCAAAGAACTCTCGAGGACGGGAGGTGGTGCACCACCGAAGGAGCCATCCGCCGTGGACACCCCGATAAAAGACGCTCTCCCTCACGAATTTGTTAGAGACACGAGTGCTTACGACGACGACGTGGAAATGGACGGAGAAACGTGAGTTCATCGAGTTATTCTACTTCGTCCTTATAATAAATGGGAAACCCTACTTTTTCACTTTTTTTTTTGAGCGATGCTATATGCACTACGTAGTGCACTTTGGACGGAAATTGCTATATGCACTACGGGGGGAGCTCATGCCGCTCGGGCCACCCTTTTTCGAACTGCGCGTGTATCACTGGGGAGCTCGTTAACACAGCCCCCCGCCTGCGTTCACGCCGCTTCGCGGCGATAGTATGCGGCTGCTAATTAGAAAAGTTAACCAGTACACGCCGCTTCGCGGCGTCCAGCCGGCAACCCAAGCCCCGCTGTCCCCGATCTGCGAAGTCTGCGAAGTTTCGTCGACAACATTCGGTGTTTTTTTTTAGTGTTCATCGCAAAAAAGAAATATAAATATCGCCAAATGCCTCGAAAAAACAACGCTCAAGAAAAAAAGAAAAAGAAAAAAAAAACAAGTTAGGCTCACCGCGATTCGAACCCGCGTCCTCTTGCGTACGAAGCAGGCACCCTCACCCTTACGGTTTGCCACCGGTTGGAAAACTTGTTGTGATCATTCATTTTATACGAGAAAAACGTAGTGCATATAGCAATTTCCGGCCGAGCTGCACTCCGGAGTGCATATAGCATTACTCTTTTTTTTAGAACGACCGCACCAGAGCAACGTTTCGACTGCGTCCAAGAAGATTGTGTATTGGTGGAAGAGGCCACACTGGAGCACGTACCTACACCAGTGGAGTTGCTGCTAAGCACGTGTGTCCTACTTTTGGGTGTATTTAGAATATAAATAATAAATAATATTTTTCTTATCAAACTTTATTGCACAGAATTCAAAATTGGCTAGCTATTTTCATTTCTTGATATTTCCTACAAAAATGATGACGACGCATATGGAAGAGTAAAAGAATTTCACCAGTGCACACAAAAAGACGATTACATCCCTACCCCCCCCCCCCCCCAAAAAAAAAAAAATTATGAAGATGCGAACTTTTAGTGGATTTGTTAGCTGCGAACAATAACTAACCAAGTATGGGTGCTAGCAAAGCAAGAAAAGCGTGAATCTTGTAATAGAGGTTACTGTACTACCTGTAGCCAAGTGCCTGCGCCGGAACACCTTGATGAACCGGAAGAGGTGCTGCTGAACACGTGAGTATGCTGATGCAGATGCTATTACCTGACAGGGAACATATCTGATGCAGGCTGAATGTGAAATAGAGAATCTATCTTCGGTAAGGAAACAAAACAACCTGTATTGAAGTGAGTGCTCAGTATCTTGACTTTCTTCTGGAGGTTGTGTGAAGTCCGAAGTAACCTCACTAGTTTCCCTGTGGAAAATCATATTTTTGAGTTTTTATCTTAATCTTTGCAGCAAATTTGCTAAATTTCTAAGCAAAGCATGGAAGTAGAAGCTGGTAGAGAAACTTGAATTTTGTCTTGAGAGTACCGGTCTAGTTAATCAATGATGGTACCTAGTCTTAATGCATATGTGTGTGCGGTTTCTACTGTGTTGTGCTGTGTATGTAAGAAACTTAACAGTGCATCATCACTCAGTGAACGTCCAGTGTGCCGCCTGTAAAACCACTGCACTATTGTGCGTTGAGTGACTTACTTCCTTGTGCTGTGCTTAGTCAGGTATGTCCTACTTGTGCGAGCTTCAATGTGTGCATTGAGTGCTCCCCCTAGACCTGAAACTGTTCCCTGTTTTCTTCCTTTTTCTTGCCCAAGCAAGCCTACCACAAAAGTTACCGGTCTCACCTTATTGTTCTATTTCCGTAATAACAGAAATACCTTAAAGAATCTTTTGAGCTCCAGAATGGCTGAATACCTTTGCTAGTCATTTAGTTAAAGGTAATTTATCATTCCTAGATCTTAAATCTATTCCTTTTCAGCCTGATATGCACCAACATGCCCAGGATAGTGTGACCGAGTCATGACATAATAATCTGATATGTCTTTAACTATGTGGAATGCAGCCGACCATCCAAGCTTCATTTACCTCCTGCTGGATCCTTGACTGTAAGAAAGAACAACGGTACTGCCACTACAATGCAGCGACGTGCTGGGATCAGGCATCACAGAAGGTGTGCATTCTTGTACTCGTTGCAAAACTCCGCCTTAGGGAGTGAGTATTGAGTACGCTAAAAATAATGTTGTCATATAAAACCTATGATGACACTATTCTTTGCATACACAAAACGCTTGCGTCTGCTATACTAAATCTCTCTAGTACATCGCAGACAATACTTTTACAGGGGCGGCAGTTGGGTTGCTCTAGGGCAAAAGATTTGTCTTGAAGCATTATACGCCTAACTTTTGGGGAAAAAAGAGGGCCTTGGAGCTCTTACTTTCAACATTCCTTTGGTGACATGGTTCTCCCAAAAACCTTTCCCAGGTTTCAGTTACCTCAAGCCACAGGAGCAGCTAATTATATCACTTTTATTGAATTTCCACCGCTGAAGTGACTTGCATTTTTTGTAAAACACTTTTGTGAGTGCAAACACGTTTTCTCTTGCTTAGGCAGCCAGGTCTCCGTGGCAGTGCAACAAAGCGTACCGAGCTCGTAGCTGACTGCTATAATGAAAAATCACAGCAGCAGATGCAGTTCGACCAGCAACAACACGATCTTCAAATGAAGATTTTACAGCAACAATTCAAGAGGGAGGTCCAGCAGCAACAATTCCTGGAAGAGCAAAACAAGCTTCAGCTGAGTGTGCTTGGCGAACAGTTAAAATACTGGCAGCGAAAAAATCAGACAATGCTAGCACAGGACTAAAACAACCGTGATGGCTTGTGAGAGAAAAAACATCTTTGTCACATAACTTCGTTCCAGGCCGTGTTTTATTTTGGCAACAGGCACGTGTCTGTTTCGGTCTAAAACTTGGACAACACTACCTAGGTCATGCATAAAACGTGTTTTAATAGTGAAATAAACTTTCAAATCATCTTCATTGTCTTTTTAAGCAGGATTATGTGACAAGGATGCTTTTGTTTACAAGCCACCAGAAATGTTCACTGTAAAAAAATTTGCCCTCTTTTACGGAGAAATTCTCTGGCACCTATGCTGCCGGAAAGGTCATCCGTAATCCTAATAACGGAAAAATCCTTTTAAACGCATACACAATCCGCAAATTAAAGGACGTTCCGCAAAACAGATTACGGAAAGTGCTCTACTATCCGTAACGCTATTCAAGAGCTGTCCGTAAAACAACGGACTGGAATATGCATTCCGTAAAACCTATTACGGAAATTGCTCTAGTATCCGTAAAAGTGTTTAAAAGTTGTCCGTAAAAGGGCACTCAGAGTAGGCTTTCCGTAAATTATATTACGGAAAGCACTTTTGAGTATCCGTAATCCTATGCGGAGCGTAAGTTTGTCTGCTTCTTGCACAGGGGTTGCAGTGATGTCAGAAGGCCGAGCTCTTATTGACCGATTGAACAAAAAAAAATAGTGGGTAGACCTCATGCTGTCTAGCATTGTGGTCTACCCACTATATCTTCCGCTCAAAGCCAATGAGAGCTCGTCACCTTTCTGACGTCACCGTAATGTCTACGCAAGAAACAGACGACTTGCTCTCCACATAGGGCGGTGTCAATTGAAAGGTGGGCTGTAAAACGAGCTGGATGAATCAATGCCTTCATTTAGCAAACTGAACTTATTATCAACGGTTTTCTTTGTGACACAGATTCCCATGAAAACTTTTAAGGTGCAACTCCATTCTGTGAAAAATAGAACTATATTATTAAAATTTTTGACAATGGGCACCGATGCATACAACTGAGTCGTGTTGAGTGCTCTTGTCGAGAAGTGCCAACACCTGTTGTGGAAAGCAGGCAATACAGCTGAGCAATCCATCTGCAGCAAGTTTCCTCAATGTCAGTTGTGTTTTCTTCTGCAAGTTCTGGCATTCAGATCAACATGCAGAATTATAGAAGGCAGTGGGATTACAAAACATTATCTGCAGTCTGATCGGCCACTGCAATCATTGCAATTTCAAACAGTGATATAAAGCACCTTCTCAACAACACCAAACGTCACTCTGTCATCTGCGTCGGCACTCATGCTTGAAAATATAGAGAATGCTGTTTTGACATTCCACAGAGACGGAGCTGTGCCTTGACATGTCACAACAGTGTTCACTGCTAAAATAGACCTTTGGTAAGAATATGAGCTCAATGCTTATAGGAGCAAATTTCGCCAGTTCGTTTTACAGCCCGTCCTTTAGTGATACTGCTCTATACATAGAGTAATGTTCATTATGACGCTGAGACCAACAGGTTTTCTATAAAAAAAAAAAAAGGTTACAGAATTTTGAATTGGAAAAGGATCTCTTTAAAAGAATATTGAGTATTCTTTCCTATGCTGCTTGCAACAATCATACAATGTCACCTGAATAATTGATCAGAAAATAAGAAAAGTACCTTGGAACACTTTATTTCGGTCCTTGAGAAGCCAAAGTGGAGCCCCGTGGTGTTTTGCCTTTGTCTTCAGATGCTGCATGTAACGTGATGTGCTAAAGAAGAGAAAACAAAGAAAAAATAATTAAATATCTGTATCAAATCAACATGTGCAAATTGAGCTTTGTGCATAAGACACAGCCCCGTCAGCCCATTTAATTATTAGTCATGCATCTTATACAAAAGTCAAATGGACATAGCCCCTAATTGTTCATCCTGTGATCCGATATCTAAAACCTATGTTTGACTTGAGGGTCTTGTTCTCCTGTTCCTTAGTCAAAACCGATACACTTCATTCAAGCTTAGATTCGTTCGAAACTGAAAAAATGCAATGCCGGAATTACAATAGTGATTTGCTTTATAATGTGAAACATTTCTTGAGAACTGATGAACCAACCGGAAAACTCGATCCAGTTTGAGTAATGCTTTATTTCTAAGGTTCATGAGATGTTGCAGAAGAGTCTATGTAAAACTGGCTAAGCTCATATCCTAGACTTTTCTAAGTTTGGGCAGCCACTTAAAATCTCCTATTAGAACGAAGGGCTACTTGCACTCTTTCACCTCGTCGAATCAGGTGGTCAGCCTCGAGTGCTTAGAGAGCACGAGCATTAAAAACTTTATTTTCTCTTTAGATATCCCTGAAAGTTTTCACAGAACTGAGGGGGTGAGAGAGTGCATTTGTACTAAAACTGCTTTCAAAAACTGGGGACTAAGCAGTAGCTTCCTCCCCGGTCCCCAATCCAGGGGTGGAACTCATGAAATGTACTTGGGAGTAGCCACGGGAGCAGCTGAAACAGCTGTTTTGGAGCAGGTTGGGAGCAGCTAAAACTATGCTCTGGAGCAGGCTAGGAGCAGCTCAGATCAGTTTTTATTGCACTTCAGCTTGTGTCTTAGACAAGCACGGGAGCAATATCAATCGTGCTTAGCAGCACAGATGAACATGACAGGGACCTAGGTAGATGGGATAACAGCATAACAGATGCGAAAACTTGAAACTTTGTGAGCCTTACCACTCATTCACACTGGAAGCGGATCCACGTTCGCAAAGCGGCTGCGAACGCGGTTGTATAAAGATCCAGTACAATTGCATGCGCACTTGATGTCATCGAGTGCATGTGCAATTGTACTGGATCTTTATACAACCGCGTTCGCAACCGCTTTGCGAACGCGGATCCGCTTCCAGTGTGAATGAGCGGTGAATGAGAATCAAAAAGCAAGTATTCTATGTTTCTGAAGATAGTATCCTTGACATTCTCTGAGTGGATTTCAGTTGCTCAAAATGCAAACCAGCACTGCTTATCGCACAACCCACACATGCTCGACATAGTAATTATATGTGCGAACCATATGACGTGCATAAGCAACGGACGTGGAGTTGCATGGAGGAATAGGGCAACACATTTCGACTTTAACCTATTGTGCAACTCGATATCGAAGCAGCAGACTACGATTAACGAAGTTATCGTATTTGAAGCGATAAGCAGGAGCAAGGTTAATGTATGCCGAGCAGATTTACCACTCGCGTAAGAGCTGCTGGCCGGCAAGGTTTCGGATCGGACAGTGTTTCAGTTCTATCAAATCACAATTTATCTTGCGGGAATGCAGTTCCAACTTCTAACGATGAAGTACTAAAAGGAATATTTTGCTCATTTGTTTTCAACTGGCTGACGTCCGGATCCCGGGCCGCAGAGC